TGCCGTTTCCAGGGTGCCTGCACAGCCTGCGAAAGCTGGAAGGATGCATTCAGCAAAGCCTTCTTCTCCTTGCCAGGCAAAGAGGTCCTGCGGGTCTCCTGCTTTTCTGCTCCCACTCTTCCATGCTCCCCGCCTCCAGTCTCTCAGGCTCCAACTGCCCCAGATTTCCAACTGATTCAGGTCATTCAGGATCTCGCGGACTCTGTTCGTAGGCCTTGGGTCACAGCTGGTTGGCATTGAGCAGCATATCAGCCCCACCCCTGGGTGTGGTCTGCCTTCGTCGTTGGATCTCCCTGGCCCCTCAGCCTCCTCTGCTGCAACCGCCTTGGCTTCTGCTCCCTCTGCGGCTCCGGCTGTGCCACTTCCTCATGCCTGTGTTGACGACCCTGCCTTCCTTCAGGCTCTCCACCACTGTGCCTGCGCAGACCTTGGGTCTTGTACATTTCCCTCTTAACCTCCAGATTGGACTGGTCTCTAACACACTGAATTGCTGGTTCTCATAGTCAGTCATCTGTCCTAGGCCCTACACTGCTGTGGCCGCACCTGCTGTCTGTGGTAATTAATTAATGAATTTAATTAAAACTGTAAGCACTCCCCACTATAAACTTGACTGCTCCCTTGTCAGTTTTAATGGAAACGTTTTGTGCAATATGTTTAATTAATTTGTCTGCTCTTGTTCTCATAAGTTTTTGTTTTTTTTGTTTTTTTGCTTTTCAAGGAGGCCCATCTGAAGTCCATTTGTCCTCATCGCCCTTCATCCAGCTGGGTGGGGGAAAGGCACCTCCATCAAAGAAATTTTGAGTGGCTATCTGTCCACTCCCGTTAAAGTGCCTGTGCTGTCCTCCTATCTTTCTTCTCTCCCTGACCTCTGTTTTGTGAATTATTTGCTCACTGGGATCTTCGGGTTTTGGGTTGGTGTCCTTTTCCCTCTGTCCTTTTTCTATGTATGTGGCTCTCGTATTTTTAATTTTTAATTGTTTTAATTCTTTCTGTGGCTTTGTGTTGGATCCTATTGAACGTCTGTGAATTGCCTTTTGTTCTACATCTCTTGGATGACTTTTGTTCACGGACTTCCCATCTTCTCATTGTTACACACTGGATGTAAAGTGTTTTTTGTGATTTAGGCATTCCTCTCTCTGCCGACTGTTGGTCCTGCCACTACTCTTGAATTTCTCGGCATTATTTTGGATACTGTTAGAATGCGTGTGCGTCTCCCTGACCAAAAGCTTGACAGGAATAGATCTATTTTATGGGCTTTTCTCTCAACTTCGTCTAAGTGTGACATTCTCTCTCTTCTCAGCCATCTCAATTTTGCCATGCATGTTCTTTTATTTCTCATTTGCTTCTTTTTGCTCACTTGGTAGTTAATTTGCTGATGTCTTGTCCCTTGACGATGGCTGCCATTCCGATCTACAGTTCTGGTCTCGGAAGGACGTCATCTAGCACTATCATGTCTTTACTTAGATGTTTAACATGTCAATCAATTATTCATAACTTTATTATTACAGCCGGACATATTCCTGGCCACTATAATGCGGTTGCTGATGCACTCTCGATTTTGTTTGAGAGTTCAGACGTCTCTGCCCATCGGCATCCAACACCTTGCCCTCTTTTTCCCCTGTTAATTTTGGACTTTGGACTAGCTATTATAAAGCCTTACTAGATTCAGAAAAATATTTTATGATGAAAGGTTTAGCTCCTTCCGCTTTTCAAGCATATAACTCTATGTGGTGTTGGCTTCTACTGTTCTGTCTTTCTATACGTATTCCAGTTTTTCCCATGTCACCCTAACAAATGCAATGCATGTATGGCCTCATTGCCCAGCCAACATAGTGCATGCATGGGATCTTTTAAGGTTTTTTATTTATTTATTTACTTTCTCCCCAGACTACTTGATCCAGGTGAAGCCTTCTCCAGTGGGTAACTATTATCTCTCTTAATTTTTTGGGGTAGGCTTCACCCCTGCCATCCTTATGGGTAGACGTTCCAAGACCTGGGCCAACGATGGGACTTTAACTGACAAATACTTATCTATCAAGTTGTTAAATATTATTGAGATTAAAAACATTTTTCTTCATTCACATTCATCTCTGGAGTCTTTCTGGTAGAAATGAAAGCTTTAGCACAAGTTCTGCCAGGGAGCCTCCAATGCTACATCACTCATTACTCTGACTAATCACTCATTACTCTGACTAATCACCTGTCTCGACTTACACATCTGCTTTGCTGCTTTAAGATGCTGACGTTTTGTCGTGCCCCTCCTTCCTCCTCCGCCGCCGCCGCCAGTTGGTCCCCTCCCAGGTGCCCAGGGGGTAGGCTCCGCCCCTGCTGTCCCTATATGGCAGGGTCTGCGAGGGTCTAGATGTTCCAAGACCTGGGCCAACTATGGGACCTGCACCAAGGACTTTAACTTACAAAAAATTTGTTATTTATCAAATTGTTAAATAATATTGATATTAAAAATGTTTCTTCTTCCACGTTTGTCTCTGGAGTGTTTCTGGTAGAACTGACAGAATTTGCACAAGCCCATTTTATTTTAATATTACAACCATCTTCCACTATCAATCATCTTACAATAATCAAAAAAGTACTTAAACATTATTTCAGCATGGTTTAATTTAACACCTCAAATCACCTTCTATGGGATTTAACAGACTTGTCCTTGCAAAACATAAAAGAAAGAAGGAAATGAGATACTAAACATGGCCAAGTATTTAGTGCAATTCATTATGCCACTGATGGGTAGATAGCTAGTTATACAGAGTGAGAGACATACAGTAAAATAATACATGATCAGGCAGGCAGATAGCAATACGGATAGATAAATATACAGATGAGTAGAAAGTAGACAGACAGAAAAAGTCATTAAGAAATAAACATACATGTTTAAACGTGTTTTAATAATGTCGACATTCAATCTATTTGTGTATGTTGGTTTCCAATGAACACTGTATCAGTGATCTCATTAGAAATTTGGACTCAACATTCCATACAGTCACATGATCAGATACTAACATCTATTTTAGAACTGATTCTCAATCATTTTTGGAATGTTAACAGCAAAGTTAGTTTTGAGTCACATATCATGCAATGTAAATACATTCACACTAGTCCTTGCTGTAACTAGTGGCAGTTTTGTTCATGTAATTCTTCTGTAACTATGTTTAATGAAAAACTTGCTTTTCATTAAAATGAAGTTACAAAACTATACTAAATTTCTGTATTCTGTATCATTTTAAAAAAATAAGCCTCTAAAGGACAGTCAAAAGCCTGCCCTAAAGCAACTCCTGCATTAATTTTTTTGGCTGTGTGTTTTGGGTCATTGTCATGTTGGAAGGTGAGCCTTTGTCCCGGTTTAAGCTCTTGAGTGCTTTTTCACAGCCTCAAGCAAGTTTCTTTAATTTAATACTTGTGTCTTTCTCTCAGTCCAGACAAGCCTCTCAGCCCCCGCTGATGTAAAACAACCCCTTAGTATGATGCTGCCACCACATGCTTCGCTCTAAGGATAAAATTGATCATGACATTCTTTTAGCAATACTTTTACTTTTTCTGTGTTTGATATTTGCTTGTACCTAGTTTTTTGGTTATGAATTTGTCTGCATTGTTGTTACGTGACTGTGATGACCATGATTATTGGATTAGCCTATATAAAGCCACTGTGCACATGTATCCTGCCTCAAGGGCCCACTCATTACAGCCTGTTCCTAGGAGAACTTGATAATGATAATGATCTCCTTCATGTAAAACAGGACACACACTTATTAGATAAACTTTTTTTTTATTTATAATTTTACCACCATTTTAGCAGAGGCTTGACTTCTATTCAGTGACAGGTCCAACAGATAAACACAAACATTTTTCCCCAAAATTTTATTTATAGAACATTTAAACATAGGGACATAGAGCAGTCACCTTCTACAATTGTGAAATAAAATCCTCTGTTAACTAAGTGTACAATCCCACTAAACATACAAACCAACTGCTGTTTACACAATGCTATTTATCAAATGCAAAACTTTCAAAAACAAACATAACGTGTACATGAGAAAAGAAGAAATACAGGAAAAAAAATCATAATATAGGGAAACTATGCTGTACGCAAATGGTGTACAGCTAAAAGTTCATGTTTCTGGGTCAGGAAGAAGCCTTTTCATGACCGAAGTGCCTGCTAGATCTTATATAACTGATCAACTAAATAAAAACTAATCATCATCTAATAACACTGAGATTCAGGGGGCATCTAGAGATTTCCAATGCAGTAAGATTCTTCTACAGGCCACTTGTCACGCATCTGTCGAGCTCCAAGACAAACCTGGACTCCATCTCCCAGAATCCTTTGGGAGATCACATCCTGAACTTTCCTTACGCTCCAAACAGCGCTCTAGATCTCCTGAATACTGATTCTCTTCACCTGTGCCTCATGTCATATGACCTCCTTAGTTTAGTTTATAAGCCCGGGCTTTAGCCATAGCTAATTGCGAGATATTTTATCATTTGTGATCTACTGAGCGTTGTACTGTTTGCCTGTATACTGTTTATGACCATTGCTTTCTGTTTTTCGACTCAGCCTTTTGCCTTACCTCTTTGGACTGTTTGCTTTTCTTGTTTGACTCCTGTTTTTGATATTTTTGCCTGTTTTCCTCGACCCTGCCATTTTGCTTAACCCTCTTGAATTGTTTGCCCTTGGTTAGGATCGTCTTATTGTATTTGCTGCTCCTTTTGAAATTGGCCCCTGCCTGTTTTGTGACTATGAACTTGGATTCTGATTCTAACAGTAAAGCCTCATTTGTGTTTTCTAACCGTGAGTGTCTGACTCTTGTTGGCACATTACACTACTAATGAGATGAATGCCAGGATGCCTATTTTTTTAAATAATCAAATACAAAAAAAAACAACATTGTTAAGGACATTAAACATAGATATGTCTACAGATGAGTGTAATAGAACAGTGCAGTAAGATTCTTCTAAAATCTACTAGTGAGATCATTAGGGATAATCAATGTTAATGGTCACATACCAGGCTTACTCTATACCACTGGTCTCAAAAATGTACTGGTTTGTTTGTCGGTTTTATGGACCATAAACTTACTCAACATTCTCATTTTTTTAACCTCCCTCCTCATCTAATCCCAGCTCCCTTGTTCAGTGTCAGACTTTTCAGGATTTCTTTCAGGATAAAATTAGCAGCATGTACTAGCACTTCCCTACTGTAAGATAATGTCTGCTATCCCATGTTGCTCATCCTCATTATGTTGCTTGTTGCTTAAAAGTGTATTGTTTCAAAAACATACAATATCAAAGTACATGTAATCATATCTATGTTTTTACTGCTGAGGTTGATGAACAGTTTTATAATATACATGTTCATAAAAACTGCCATGTGAGCACAGAAGGAACTGTTCTATGATTCTGGTTATGAATAGATTAAATGGAGTCTAAGATCAATTGGTCTGGTTTGGGGGTGGGCATTAGTGCATACTGAAAGTCATGTTCTAGAATGGATTCCGTAAGTTGTTCCATTTGGACTTTATGTTGTTTGTCAGCAGTGGCTGAGTAAGCAATTATATGACCTTTAAGAACCAGTAGTGTAGTACTTGCAGAATTTGAATACAAGCGTTATTCTATGGAATACAATGACCTAAAATTACAGGCATGTATTTTTAGCTTCCAGGAATCATTCAGTAGAGAGGGCCCTGAGGGTTGCCCTCTGAGTTTAACATGGTAAACACACAGAAATAACAGTTAGCGGTTCCAAGTTTCATGAATAAAACAATATATAGTATGTACAACTTTAAGATTAGTTCCCAAACATTCTAGTTCTTCCTTGAAAAAACACCCTGAACCCTTTGAGAAAATAATAAACATCAAAATTGTCCCCCTAAACTTAAGCTCGCCTCCCCAGTTGAGGCGAACGGGTACGCTGTATAGCTGCTCTACATATAATGTCCATTTCCCATCATAGTAAAGATCAAGTACACAATAATAATAAGCAAAATAAAAACTTACATCACCAGTCTTAAGCACAAGGCCCAACCCTGCAAACAGACTATTCTACCTTACGTATGCAAAGTGACGAGTCAGAACAAACCCCAAACCCGGCATAGAGGGGCTCAGTAAATGTGGAGTAGAATGTGTGTAGGTGGGTCCGTTTGTCTGTGTTAGGTGAGATTCTGTAAAAGGACAGGGTACCGGCTTCACAGTCCAAATACACTCCTACTCTACCGGAGATGGAGGGGGGTGTAGGTACCACAGAGACCTGACTATCATGACAGACAGTGTAAATGTGAAGAGAGCAGTCCAGAGACCAGGACTGATTATTGGTTCCAAACCTGCAGTCATCTCTGAGTCCTTTCCTTCTGATTCCTCCGTATGAGACAGCTACAGTAGCCCCCCCACTGCACTCAGCTTCCCAGTAACAGCGTACAGTCAGACCCTCCACACTCAGAACCTGATGACAGACATCAAATCTGTCTGGATGATCTGGATATGGCAGCTGCACCTCAAACTCCACTCTTTTGTTCCCCTCAGATAGAGACAGATGTCTGTTTGCTGTGTTTGGATCCAGAGTGAGATCACAGGCATCTGTATACACAAACACACACACACACAGATTAGAGGACTTAAGGCTCATTTATGCTCAACGTTAAATACGGATATGGGTGGAGCCTTCTGTCCGTACTTAACATTAAATATAGATAAAGGTGGAGCCTTCTGTCCGTACTCTGCGTTCATTCATGCACCTTTGACTACTGGTGTGGTCCATTCTGGAGGCGGCTGTCTAAGCTGGCAGCATTTTTAGGCAACGAACGTTTGCATGCTACCGAGAGAAAGGCTGTCCCATTCAGAAGACAGTATAAGTCAGCTGTCCTCTAAGGTGCCTTATTTTGACCACAGGCTGCGTTTGTAACTCATTAAGCTAACACTAGTCAACGTTAGTTTTAATACTGGTTGTTCACTATTTAGCAGTCTTTTTTTCTGCTGCTGTAGAGAACAGAGAAGAAAAAAAACTGCTTGAGCAGTACTTTAAACAGCCTCTTCTTCCTGAATCAAATTCCATGTTTAGCAATCCTCCCTGGTCCGTGTACCTTCTGTTGATTTGATTTTCATTTTAAAAACCGGTATTGAAAAACGGCAAATGGATCGATTCTCGTTTCTGGTTCTGTTATTCTCAGTGGAAAAATGAAGAAATAGCTTCGTTTTACAATTTCACAGAATAATCATAAAATCAAATAACAAAAAAAACAGCACTGGAATAAAGGGTCGTATTTTCATGATCCAAATTTAGAATTTCCCATTATAAGCGGAAATAAACGTGCAGAGCGCAGGTGTGGAAGCTCAGAAATCACAGAAATCAGGTCTGTGGATCTGGAGTATTGGTCAGCTATATTACTTTTTGCGTAAGTGTTTGTATATTTGACCTGTACAAACTATGTGTGAAAGAAATTATATAGGGAAAAACGGAACTTCCACCATTTGACAGGGGCTTCGTGCTCCCCAGATCAGCTACTGACGCGCTCAAGTTCAAGAAGTGTTCTATTGGTATTCTGCTGAACTCCCCTATGCGTGCGCACATCACATAGGCATATGGACACTAGATTACATTCTGTCTCACCTGCAAAAAAGGCTCATACAGGGCAGCCACTGAAGGTCACCTCCGCTCCCTCCACTTCATGGTAGACACTTAACCCAACTAACTAAACACACCCAGGCCAGGGGAGGACAAGGGGCTGCTGAAGCCCTTCCACCCGACCACCCCCAGTCTCCAAAAATCGTTCAGCGCCCACGTTATCACCCCTGAAAAAGGTTGAATTCCCACGTTTGATTCAGACCAGCGTAAAAAATGCTCACAGAAGAGAACTGAACACAGAGTCCTGAGCACAGTGAACCCCTGTGCAGATCTAACGCGCCTCTAAAGCTCCCTTCCCCCCAAAACTGGAGCACCGCTGCCACATGATTATAAGAACGCTATGAACACAGGACAGTGCACATGGCAGGAGTTGTATTGCGGGTTGGCGCAGTTTTGCGCATGCTTGATTTTACTGATTTAAATTAATGAAATATCAACCCCTTATTCTATAGCTGTTTGTTTGTTACTTGATTTTATGATTAGTCTGTGAATCTGTAAAATGAAGCTATTTCTTGTTTTCCGTCTGAAAATAACAGAATCAAAAATGAGATTTGACCCATATGCCGTTTTTCAATACTGGTTTTTAAAATGAAAATCAAATGAAGAGAAAGTACATAGACCCTCTGGTGTATGGAGAGCAGGTTAAAGCAGGGATGAAAAGAAATTCTTTTTCTGAGAATTTTGGTTTTGTTTCTTTTGGCAGTGAACTGGAGCTTCACTTGATATGGGTCTTTAATATGTATGAGCTCATTTACATGTTGATTCTGATTGGCTCTAGGCCAGAACACAGGTGGAAATACCAAAGTGATAGGACACACCGATGGACTAACTGCCACCAAGGTTACTTCATATATAGCCCTTATTTACTGTGCCGTGCGTTTTGCATGAACGTGCACTGTTACTTCCAAGATTTATGAATCTGGCTCATTGTCTGTTAAACAGTTTGTCGATTTGATTCTATACTCTGAGATGCTTTGCTAGCTTAGATTTTTTCTGTCCCCTGAGAGTACAGACAAGGTGTAAAGTACAAGGGGTCCAGCACCTCCTAATTAACCTCTTGGACTCCCTCAATGTCTCAAAACCGATATTCACGTGTGTTCATGAGCTTTTTCTGCCGCAGATTTGAGGTGACTTGCATTCTGATAGCGCTCCCTACTGGAGAAACTTCAGACTGCAAGTGATTTCCAAAGCCACATCAATGCGCTTTCCACATGAAAAACAAGATGTTTTCCATTGTTTGAGTAGCATCTTCAAAATGCAACTAAACACTGGGACACTTAATCTGCACAGAAAATCAGAGGAACTTTCTCTTCAGGTTAGAGTTAATTTAGCTGCTCTATGTTAACGTTGTCAGTTTAGCTCATTTCTTTACTGCACAGGTCACATCAAGGCAAGCTGAAGTTCCAAAGCATGTTGGCATTCATTTTCGACTCCATTCACGTTAATTAAGAGGAATCCATGTGGTAAAGTTAGCATTCCTGTGCATAGCAGAGAGAAATAACACAAGCAGTTTCCTAATAAACCTCCCCCTTCTCTCTCTGTCTCTCTCTCTCTGTCTGTCTGTCTCTCTCTCAGTATCTCTCTGTCTGTGAATGTAACTACTGGTGCATAAGCCCCACACTTATTAAACATGAGCCCCAGTTTCCCAATTAATTTTCCAATTTATTTCATGGTAAATTAGTCCTCTCTAATTTATCTATTTATATTTTATTTTACCATAATGGTGTTTATCACCTTTTACACATTGCCTTTGGGTTACTTGTCCAGCATCAATGATATCCAATTACATCGACTTATTGCCCAGACCTTTTAGGCTCATGTGCCAGTTTGTATATAACACACATGCAGAATGCATCTGAATTGCATTTGAAACTAGTGCAAAAGGCTTAGCACACCAGGCCCAATGTGTGTGCCTTTTGTGTGGGTGTGTGGGTGGGTGGGGGTATTTGTCTTGGTATCTTACATTTTTTTAGTCCTGGTTTCATCCTGATACTCCCTCCATGTTCCATCCTAAAGAATAAATACACACACACACACACACACACACATTGACTTTTGCTTTCCTGAAATGTAAATCTTTAGTATACCGTCTATATTCAATAAAAAAGATACAGTGACTTTTTTGCCATTTTATTTAAAAATAAAGAAGGGAAAAGGACAATAATAATAATATATAATTTTTTGCATAATTTTACAATTTACACTGACCCTCCACTTTATTAGAAATACCTCGCTCTTGCTAAGTCACGCACCTATCCAATTGGCTGCTGATGCGGCAGTAACATAATGGATAATATCATCCAGACATGGGTCAAGAGCTTCAGTTAATACTCACATGGAACATCAGAATGGGGAAAAGGTGTGATTCAAGAGTCTTTGAGCATGACATAGGTAGCGATGCACAACACAGTCTGTCTAGAGTTTACACAGAATAGAGTAAAAAACAAAAAACATCCACCAAATGGTAGTTCTGTGGGTGGCACATTGTTTAAAACAATGTGGCAGAATGGGAAATTCCTTATGCAGTGTGGACCCTCGTATCAGTCAGAGAGTAGCTTCACTCCAGACTGTCCTGGTTGTGCGTATGTGTGTTTGGTAAGTCAGTAACTCACCGTAGTTTCTCCAGTCTGTACTGTGGATTCCGCAGTAGATCAGACAGCAGCTTTACTCCAGACTGTCCTGGGTGATTATAGGTCAGATCCAGTTCTCTCAGGTGAGAGGGATTTGATTTCAGAGCTGAAGCCAGAGACAAACAGCCTTCGCTTGTAACCATACAACCGGACAATCTGCAGACAGGAAGTAAACAGAGAGAAAGAGATGCCATTTACAGAGCAAAAATATGCCTTTTACATAGAGCAAAAATGCAAATTTTTAAGATAATGAAATATGATTTGTTTTCTGTGAGTGCTGTCATTGTATTTTGGCCAATCAACTAATTACACTCTACGCCAAGTTCGGGCTTTCTTTTTTCAGCCCCCCAATCATTGCTTGGCAGTCATTGCTATCTGCCATTGCCTCAAGCTTTCAGTTAATTATCAGCAGGCCAGTCTTTGAACCTGAAGCTCCATTGGCAATTAAAATGTGTAATATATGAAGTTTAAAGTGAGATTTTGTTGTTTTCTTACATGTCAAAAATCATTTTTAAAAAATTGTCTTTGTAGGTTTTCTGTTAATTTGGTGCTACAAATGCGGTTTTACCACAAAAGCTGACATGGGCTATGTGGTATTGTCAAAGCACACATGTAACATTATTTCAGTACATTTGAGTCATCACAGGCAAGACAAAAATGGATCATAAACATTTTTCACACCTGCCGTAGCAATATGCTTTTGCCTATAATGAATGTCATTTTTAAAAGTTATTAACTTATGATATTGAAGACAACAAAGCAAATATTTGTCTCATTGTCTTCTTTGAGTCACTCAGCTGTGCCAGTATGCTTTAGCCTAGGATGATTCGGTGTAGTTTTTAAGTTTACTGAGTTTTGATCCTCATGTTTGCAACGTACATCTCAGCTGTCTGATTGTAACTTAGTTATGTAATCTTCATTGGACAAACATGCTTGTGGTGAGTGAACACATGGTTTTTAATGAAGGGTGCTGCAGTGGTGCATTCTGGTTGATTACTATTGTTTTATAGGGCAGATGTGTTGGAACAGGTAGGGTAATGACTGCATGGCTGTCAGGAAAAGCCTGATATAATTAAGTTGTGGGACATTTGGAAATTGTATCCCATAAATACACAAAGACGATGTCCAAACCCAATTCCAAAAAAGTTGTGGGACACTGGGCAAAATGTAATTAAAAACAGAATCCAGTGATGTGCAAATCATTTAAATGCTATATGTAATTGAAAATAGTACAAAGACAACATATTACATGTTAAAACTGAGGGATTTTATTGTTTTTTAAAAAATATATCTACACATTTTGAATTTGATGCCAGTAACACATTTCAAAAAAGTTGTGAGGGGGCAGCAAAAGACAGGTTGTCATGCATTCGGCTAGAGGTCAAAGGAAAACGGACTCTATTTCCCAGAATCCCTTGGGAGATCACGTCACGGCACAACGTCCTTCAGAGATGGAGGACAACACAGACTCCATTACCCAGAGTTCTAGGGAAACTCACGTGATCACTGACTCTCAAACACGCTCCTATCAGAGATCTAGTTCCCCTGAATACTGATGTGTCACACCTGTGTAGGATGTTATATGACTCAAGCTGTTTAGTTTAAAAGCCCGGGCTTTAGGTAGGCAAATTGCGAAGTATTGTTTCCTTGAGAACTACTGAGCGTTTGTATTTATATGTCCGATACTCTGTTTTTGACCTTTGCTTTGTTTGTCTGGATTCTGCCTCTTGTCTTACCCTTTGGATACTTTTGCCTGTCTTTGCTGACCTGTGTTTTTGACCCCTTTTTCTGTTATTTGGATTACATTTTTGCTCTGCCCTCTTTGGATTGTTCGCTTGGTATTTTTTGAATACACTTTGGCCTAGAGTGATTTAAACTGCTGCTCTCATTATTTTTTATCCGCGAGCGTCTGTTTTTTTCTGTCAACACATTACACAGGTAAAGTCGTGTAATTCTTAAAAAAATTACTAACAGGTCAGTAACATAATTTGGGCTTAAAAATGGTATCCCAGAGAGGCTGAGTCTTTCAGAAGTAAAAATATGTAGAGTGTTCATCATGCTGTGAAAGACTATGTAGGCAAATAGTGCAGTAGTTTAAGAATAATGTTTTTCACTTTGTTTTCAACTGGCCAAGATCTTCAGGCCCTCAGGCAACACTGCATTAAAAATAGACAAGATTCTATAGCAGCAGTTTGTTGCCTCATCCAGAAATGCAAGTTAAAACTCTACCATGCAAAGAGGAAACCATATATAAACAGTTTCCAGAAACACTGCCGCATTCATTCATTAATATCATCTCTAAAAAATTATACTGTCCAAGCAAAAAAGTTAAAGCAAAATATGCTTCTGATTGGTGTGGTTGAACTGCAGCGCTTTGAGATAAGCAGCTAACTACACTACCTTTATGTGTATCAGCATTAGATGATTTACATTCACATATGGAACATTGGATTGTCAAGTCTGATAAAATTAAAACAAAAAAGTGGCTATTGTTGGTCAGCAGTGCCTGACCCATAACACTCTAACACTCTTTATACATTTCCACAGCCATTTGCATGCATGGTTAGCTTGTGAACACTACCTGAGCTACTTATGTGCTGTATGGTGCTGAAGTCACATTATATCACATGTATTAGTTAATATATAACATGTATTCATTTATATATCATATGTATTTGTTTAAACAAGTTTTATTTGTTAATAAATCATGATTCATTTGGTGCATAGCATTTAAAATCTATTCTTTACTGATGCAGTTTTTTTCCAGAATGAATTATAAATGATGCCTTGAGAATTAACTGTTATGCCACCTGTGAGTGTCTTGAGTTTACAGATATTGTAACTGTTGTTTATCACTCTTTTCCATTCAAGAATTAATTCATAGGAGGTTTACCTCAATATTTCAACTTTACAGCGTGAACTCTTCAGTCCAGCAGAGAGCAGCTCTACTCCTAAATCCTGCAGGTCATTGTTACTCAGGTCCAGTTCTTTCAGGGGGCAGTTTACTGATTGTAGAAGTGTGCAGAGAGTGTCACAAGAGCCCTTGGTGAGATTACAGCCAGCTAGTCTGCAAAGCAATATTGTATACAATATATATATTACGCTTAAGAAAGAGGTTATGATATAATGTGTCAAAATAATCATAAAGTTCTCCTTTCACACATTCACACTGCAGGATCACTGATGTTCCACTGAAGTCCATATAAATGTAGTTTACAGATAAATATACAGCAGGAGAAATAAGTATTCAACATATTAACACTTGTTTTTAAAATAAACGTATTAAACAATAAAACTACACAGCAAACGAAATCATAACATTTCAATCCATTAACAAAGTTACATGCAATAAAGTGGAATGACACTAAAAAGAAGTATTGAACACACTAACTGAAATATATTTAATACTTGGTGGAGAACCCTTTGTTTGCAAAGACAGCTTCAAGATGCTTCTGGTATATAGAAACTAATCTCTATTCAGGATTCAGGAGGGCTTTGGCCCATTCATCCACAGAGACAGTCTTTACATTTTGAAGATTCCGGGGTATCCGCTCGTGAATTTCAAGCTTCTGTTCCTTCCACAATTTTTTTAGTCAAACTTATCTAGTAAGTCTAGTATCTTCAGTAATGGCATTCCAGGGGATTGTGAATGGAGAACATGGAGTTGAATTAATTGCCTATTGTTTTATTCTGTGATGACTGTACGCTGCTTTCAGCTCTTTTTTGAGTTATTTTAAAGAGATCCACAGCTCTTGGGCTACCCTTCTGACTAACTTTCTGGCTGCCTGGGTGGAAAACCTGCAAGGAGCTGCTGTCTGTGGCTTGCTGATGCTTGAGTGATGTTTCTTCTACTTGAGTATAATGGCCCCAGTGGTGCTTATAGGAATATTCAGGAGTTGAGAGATTTGTTGGTAACCAGCCCCAATGCCATGCTGCTCAACTATCATGTCACAAATACCATACCCATCATGAAATGTTTCTTATGTGACAGCCTGGTAATAAATGGTTTGTTACCAATGATACTTGCATTCAGAAGTGGGACAAACCTACCAACATGCACTAACCCAGCTGATTCTAATTAATACAGGTATGAGAATTAATTAGTGGTATCAGCTGGTTTAATGTTTTTTTTTTACTCTGTTCAACACTTTTTTCCTGTGTCATTTCACTTTTATTGCACATAACTTTTATGGATTGAAATGTTACAATTTGGTTAGCTATGTAGTTGTACTGAGTTAATACTAATATCTGGTGCAAAATTCTCCTTTGGAAATAAGTTTAATAAAAAAAATTGTTGACGTATTGAATACTTATTTCCTCCACTGTAGTCACAGAACCCTACCTTTTAGAGTCCCAGTGCTCTAATCTACAGAACAAAATAAATCTGAAGGCACATTACAGCAAGACTAACAGTGCATTTGATATCCTTTCTTGAATTCTCTTAATATCAACTTGTCAGTCCCTGCCTGACAAAACTAAAAGAAAAGGTCAGAAGATTTGATCGTTTTCTTTCAATGGTTTCTGATATCTCAGCCAGAAATACAATGTCTTGCAGAATTATTCAACACCCTTAATCACCAGACTCATCTTGATTACAAATGACAGATTGTTCCAGCCAGTGTTGCAAACCAATATGCTCTTAAAGACAAAATTCATTATTTTCCATCTTTAAACATAAACTGCAAAATGTTGCTTGCGTAAGTGTTCAAGCCCATCAGACTTGCAGCAGTCTGTTGGGGTAAATTTCAAACAGCTTTGCACACTGTTTGGTAGTGCTTTTCAGACATTCTTTCTGACAGATTTTCTACAGGTTGTTTGGTTGGATGACGCTTATGGACAAATAAAGCCGATTTCATACCACAAGCGATGCAGTGTGTGGTATTCCAAAACCACTCCGTGTACTTATCATTTCATAATCAAATGCCTAGCAAGTTGAGAGCATTTTCTGTTTGTGTTGCATTTCCAAGAAAAACCTGAATGCCTGCCATGACTGTTGTTAGCACTCTCATCATGTTGTGAAATGGTATAGCTATATGATCGTTTTACTATTTCTACAATGATCACAGATTGACAGTTAGTCTTTATCTGCTGCTGAGGAGGAGGAGAAGCATGCGGGTTCAGAACATTAACCTACACAGACAGGCACAAAGAAATTGCCTTGCCAAAGAATTAAAACAATATTTGTTGATTTGTTTATTAGTCTAGATTTTACATTATAACAAGAATACTGAGGGTTTTTTTTTTACTGTTCCTGCCTAGAAACTGCTAACATGCTACATGCCATACGTGTCAAAAAAAGACCCAAAGCGGTTATACCGAGGCATGCTTTTCGTGTCTGGTGTGAAATGCCTTTATGCCACAGTTTCTCGACTGGATTGTGCTCTAGACTTGGCTATTGTAAAACATACACCATTTTGTTGTTCAACCACTCTAGTGTTGCTTTGGCCTTGTTTTTGGAATGATGTCCTGCTGAAACGTGATGTTTCTCCCAAGCTTTAGTTCTTAAGCTGAACAAAGCTGGTTGTCTTGCAGTATCTTCCTGTAATTTTCACCATCTATCCATCATTTAATTTTAACAAGATGACCCATCCCGTTGAGGAAAAGCATCCCCACAACATAATGCTGCTACCCCTCATACTTTACTGTTGGGATGGTGTTTGTTGAGGAATGGGTAGTGCCAAGTTTGTGCCACAGTTAGTGACCACAAGTCCTCATCCTCATTTTTGCTGGGTTTCTGATGCCTTTTGGCAAACATGCTTTAATATGTACCTTATTTAAAGGTAGAGGCCAACTGTAAACCAACTGTGTCCTCATTAGGGTAATATTCTTAATTAAAATATGACAGCACCAAATTATACCAACAAATACCAAAGTGTATTCCAGACAAATGTGCACTGGATTTGATAATTTGACCTAAAGGTATAGCACATATATAATATTATTAATGTTATTAATATTATTATTAATTATCGTTGGCGATCAATGATAATGGCAATTGGACTAGTAGTGGTGAAGTAGCTGAAGCAAGATGGCATATAGATAGATAGATAGATAGATAGATAGATAGATATACGAGATATATCAATAATAGATCACTCACAGAGCTTTTCTGCAGACAGTCAAAGCTGGGATGAGTCTTTTATAACCCTCCTCTGATGTGCTGTATATCTTCAGGTCTAGCTCATCCAGCACCTCCTCTGACATCAGAAGCATATAGGCTAGTGCTGAGCACTGTCCAAGGGACAGCTTCCTTTCTTTTTTTCCTTTCTTCTCTGATTTTAGATACTCCTGAAGCTCTCTGGAAACAGACTGATCATTCACTTCAGACAAGCAGAGGAAAAGATTGATATATCTTTCGCTTGAGATGCGACATTCATTTCCCTTGAGTAACTTCTTGATGTACACTATGGTTTTATTTGAGCTGCTCTGTGTTGGCGTCAGTAGGCCCTGTAGGAGTCTCTGATTAGACTGCAGTGAGATGCCCAGTAGGAAGCGGAGGAAAAGATCCAGGTGTCCATTCTGACTGTCTAAAGTTATATTCACTGCTCCCTCCAGCAGATCATCCAGTGGATAATTCTCAGCGTGATCTCTGTTCAACGGTTTAAAAATCTGCAGGTTCTCTGTGTTTTTGCTCAAGTAGCAGTGAAACACATAGACAGCAGCCAAGAACTCCTGAAATGTCAGATGAACAAAGCAGTAGATCTTCCTCTGGTAAAGCACACATTCTTCTCTAAAGATCTGAGTGAACATCCCAGAATACAACAGGTCATCGCTGACATTAATGCCGCTTTCTCTCAGGTCCTCTTCGTAGAACATCACATTGCCCTTCATCAGCTGTTCAAAAGCCAGTTTAGCCAGTTTCATGATCATGTTTTGATGTGATTCTAGCAGTTTCGTTGTATCTTTTTGATGAGTCTTGTTAGACCTTTTGTCCATGGTATCCATCTGAATGGCCAGAAAGTGTGCATACATTTGGGTTAATGATTTAGGGACTTTTGCTACACTGCGTTGTTTTATGATTTGCAGAAGCACAACGTATGTGATCCAACAAAAAACTGGTATGTAGCACATGATGTAGAGGGTCTTTGACTGCTTAATTTGTGAGATGACTCTCCTTGCTTGACCCTCATCATGGATTCTCCTCCTGAAGTAATCCTCCTTTTGTTGGTCAGTGATGAATCCTTGCACTTCTGTTACCAGGTGGATGTATTTTGAGGGGATCTGCTCTGCTGCTGCGTGCCTGGAGGTGATCCAGACAAGAGCAGATGGAAGCAGTGCTCCTGTGACGAGGTTTGTTACTAGCACATCAACACGTGCCTTTTCTGTTACAGCAGACATTTTTTTCTTATTAAAGTCAAGTGGTTTTCTCATTTCATCCAGTCCATCAAAGATGAAAACACACTTACATTTACCACCAAAAAGCCCAGTTTCTTTCAAATTTCTCAGTTCTGGGTAGAGGTAAAGAAGTAGTTTGTGGAGGCTGTACTCTTCATCTTTTAGAATATTCAGCTCTCGGAAAAGAATGATGAACACAAAATCTATATTTGCATTGGATTTTCCTTCAGCCCAATCTAGAGCAAACTTTTGAGCAGAGACCGTTTTCCCAATCCCCGCCATTCCTAAAGTGAGCACTTTTTTACTTTTACTGTCATTGAAAATCTCACTGAATTTGACTTGAATGTCTGTGGTAGCATTTCTCAAGAACCCAGCTTCAATCTGAATCACTTCATGATCCTTGTTCACTCTTCTTGCCCAGTCCTTCACTACGTAGAGCTCTGTGTAAATCTCATTAAGGAGACTGTGCATCCCCTTTGCTGCTACCCCCTCATATAATGTAGCATATCGATCTATGATGATTGATTTGAGTTTTTCACTTTCTGCTTGTCTCAGTGCATCTGTACAACAGGGAAAAATGTCAACAGTTGTCAATAAACATCAAAAACCTTCATACGTCACAGACTGGATGGGCAGTATTTCACACGCTGTAATGCACTAAATCTAATTAAATGGGTAATTATATTAAATTGTTATCTTTTCAATGAAAGTTCAACGCAGTTGGTCAGTATCCTTTAAGTACTGTCAATATCTACGATATGCTCAGAAAAGCATATTGTGTATCATAATAATAATGTTTGTCCTGATAACGGCAAAATATCATCTTGTCCACCTCCATTACAGACAATACTGCTATTTCCTGTCTGTCTTCCAGTAGGTGTAGCTTTTTTTTCTATGCAAAATCCTATTCATGGCGTGCATAAAACCTACCATTAAATCATAGCCTCTGCCTTGACCTATGAAATGTGATGTTATACACACACACACACACATATATATGTACTACTGTTGTTGGAAGAAAACCTTATCTCCATTTTTTCAGTTATTGACATAATTTAAAAATACCTATATATTGTATGTCAATTTCATGATGAATGAACTAAAAGAAATGACCTAAAATGACTTGGAAAAAATTCTGGTTCCATTGACTTACATTAAAAGTCAAGTATATTTTTTCCTTCTCCTAAAAAAAATGATCATTTTGGAGATATGAGGTTTTCTTCCAACAACCGCAATATACAGCTACTTTTGGTCAAGCTATAGGGATTAATTTAATGGGTTGAATTTTTTTTGTTTACTTTGCTCTGAAGTATAATGGATTTTATGGTCAATGACTACATTGTACAAAAATACACTGATTTTGAATATTTTGGTTCATTAGATACTTAAAGTAAAATCAGCTGTCTGACATTGCACTGACATTGTACAAACACATGTCTATGGTAGCACTTTTACCTTCACTGACAGCTTCAGTGTTAGCTGAACATCCAGGCTGAGCTGTTCTGGCAGCTGCTTGACCTGAGGGGGGGCAGCAGATCGGCTTTACTAAAAACGTATTACTGAACCACCACAAACAATAAAAGAGCTGTTAGAGGGACTGAAACCCACAATCTACTGATGTTAAGAAACATACTGCTTAAAGAGCTGTATTCATGTGTTATGGCTACCACTTTAAGCATTTAACTGTGATCTTTCCAGCATTCAGCACGCTTTCCAGTGAGTTCTGCAGAGATTCGTATTCATTTTAATGTCACTGTATAAGTGGGTGGTGTGAGACTGGTAAACTGTATAAATCTGTAAACTGAGTTTAAAGCCAGGAATACTTATAGTCAATATTAGCACTAATTATTAAAACTAACACGAACTGGTGTGTACTACTTAGGCTACTGAAAGTTAGCCTAATGCGGTGCTGAAAATAAAATACTAATGATTTTTAGAAGTGGGTTACTGTAAGTCCTGAATCATCTAGCTAGCCTTGGGCTTGACTTTACACTTAACGACAATGCTTTTGTTACAACTGTATAAAATGTATGCTTCTTGCTCAATCACCAGAGGACATTCTGTTCTGTAAGCCTCACACATGGACTGTTTCTTTCCAGTGGCCATCTGTATATATTTTAATCTATCTGTGTTTACTGCAACGTTTCTGAGAAACAGTGATCTAACACCTCCCACCCAGAGTAGTTCTGCTAATGGAATGTCCACACTGTGCAGTGGTGACGGTAAAGACAGAATGGTGTGGCAAGGTGGAAGTGGACCCTCAGGGTTTGGCAGGTCATATTCCATGATAGCGTTATACGGGATACAGCAGGTCAGTATAATTCATACCTTCTCGAGCCAGTAATCCATCTGTTGCATCCAAACATCACCAGCCATTTTCATGATCAATTTGAGAGTTCAATAATGAATAATGAATGAAAGGATCTTGCATGAGCATCACTTTAAGCCAGCTTACAGAGTAAAGCTCAAAATCGTAAAACTCAACTATTTTATGAAGATAAACTGTCCTTCCTAGTCATCGACTCTCCTGACCACCCTATTATTCTAGACTTTCCCTGACACAACAAAGTCATCTCTTGGCGTACAGGAGAAATAGTGAAATGGAGCAAAAATCTAACTGCCTATTTAACTTTTTGTCATTGCCCTGTCTGACCACCTGCATTGAGAGCCCTATTACAATTACTGTTCTCCCTAAATATCATGACCTGGCTGATTTAATGGAAGTAATTGCCTCCAGACACGGTGATTGCGCCACAAAGCTCCTGCCGAACACGTCCACCCTAAAAGCAGAATCTAGCCACTGGGCCTGAGAGCATTGCCCTAAAGTACTGCATGGGTGAGGCATTCAGATTAGGGTATATTAGACCCTCAACGTCTCCAGGCGGCGCTGGGGTTTTTTTGTAGAAAAGTAGGATGGATGTTTATGGCCATGTTTCAATTATAGAGGCCTAAATGCTGTAACAGTTAAGTACCATTACCCTCTCCCTCTGATAAAGGCTGCAAATAAGTCATACCTGCTTGTTAAATTTCAAATTCAGTTACCTTCTTGCTTAGAGTCAGCTCCAAAATGAATGTGAACTGCATCATGAAACACACTTCCATGTAAAAGAAATGCACTAACATTTCCTCCATCTTGAGCTGTGACAGTCTGAATCGGAGCAGACTGATCTACGTTTGTCTTAAATGGGTTACTCTTAGCTGGGATGGTCTTCACTGGGTGACTCTGAGTTGTATTGCTCTGGTCTGGTACAGTCCAGTCTATGTTAACAGGAGAATAAGAGAGGGTCACATTAGGCAGAAATTAAGACAACAGGATGAAAAAGGTCTAGCCACTTTTCCACTGCATTATTTACAAGACATATGAAGACATATGAATACCAAAACATTTTAAAAATTAAAAATGTAACTAGAAATGCAAAAGGAAATGTAAATATCAAAGAAGAAGAGGCTGTTACAAAATCTAGTTTATTCATTTTGTGAATTTACCCCAAATGTAGTCTACATTGTGTGAAGTTTCCTTCATTTATTGCAAGGCAAATGTTACTAAATGTGGAATGGAATGGAAATCTGTATCACCCAAATTTTTAAATGTAAATACATGCCCACACACTGTCCTTAACCTGCTCAAACCGTGTATTGAGTTCTTATGTACAATCACACAGAGACTTTCCAAAGTGGTTTGGCACACAGTATGATCTATGGTGATGAAAACTGAAAACCATTTTAGATAACCGGTATCACTTTCTTTTCTTACTGCAAATTGGTACCATAAAAAGTACAAGACTTTTTTGACACTTTGAAGCACTGAGTGCTAGCTACCTAGAGCAAAGTGCTAGATGCCTCACATCCCTCTGCCCTTCAGTGGTACAGCTTCCAGCTACACAGCTTCCAGTTCCTGGGAGTGTACATGACTGACAATCTCTCCTGGTCGCTGAACACCTCCTCCTTAGGTCATTTTCACACTAGATCTTTTTTTCTGGACCCAGGTCTGCTTGCTCTGGGAGTTTGGTAAAGTGTAAAAACAGTTTTCGAGCCTGGGCGCTCTCTCTGGTCCTCCTTAAATTGGTGGTCTGGGGTTCGCTTCCTGCAAACTCTGGTGCAGTCCACTGCACATATGGACACTACCTGCTCCTGGCGTTGTGTAATTGGTTCGTTTTGTAACATGACTGCTTCGACTTCATCTTACCTCCCTTTTCAGGTTTTGTGTTGGTGGAGAAAGCATTGTTGTGAACAATGGAGAAAAGAAGTGCTGTTCTTTGCTGCTTGAATGTTTTATCCAGGGATAATAATAAAAAGTAGCAAACACATGAAGCTAGTGCCTACCATAAAAAGTGACCATATAGAATTGTGCAGTTCACGCACGGTTTCGATGGAATTTTTGTGTGTGAAAGCAAACCAGCATTAAAGATCCCCTCCCCCACACAAGCCCAAAATTGGTCCTGGGTGCGGACTCAAGTATTTGAGATGCCCTTAGTGAACGAGGCACAACAGCACCTCTAATTCCTAAAGAGAGCGAAGAGGGCCAGCCTGCAGCACAGACTGCCCAGTTCATCACTGGGTCAGGCTTCACTGCCATTAGGGACATCTACACCAAACAGTGTAAAAGGAAAGCATGCAGCAACAGGAAGGATCCCTCTCCTCTGTCACATGGACCGTTTACTCACTCCCACCTGGAAGAAGGCTACAGAGCATCAGACTGCTGAACAGATCTACACGATGAACCTTTAAACATCCAGACTAAACTGCTACCTCAGCCTTACTACTCACTTTCATCTGTTGCACTTTACCTTCATCACTCACTTTATATGCATATGCACTTTATTCTGTACATTGTCTGCCGTTTTTTTCATCTTTGTGGTTGTATTACTAGAATACTATTATTATTATTATTACCATCAGTGCACTGATAAAAATATATATGCAACCATTATTGATGCTGTGGACCAACAGCTGGTCTATTTTTTATTGCCCTGTGCTCAATGGTTGTGTTGGTGTATAGTTAATGTATATTGTACAGAACAGCCTGTTGTGTTTTTATTTTGTCTTAATTTAGAACATCCACTAAGGGGCGCTCTGTGAGCATGTGTGAAGGAAAGAGTAGAACGAGCGTAGTCAGTGTGTGTGATGCAACAGTGATCCAATAAAGAGTTTTGGATTAAACTGGCAGAGTTGTTTTGCTTTTTTACTACAAACTAATAGAATTTATTGTATAGTGTTTGTATTGTCTATATTTATTGTCTGTCTGAACTGTTGTGTGCTGTCAAATGCAGCACCATGTGTTGAAGAAACTACATTTTGTGTATCTCTCAACCAATCAGTGATGAGAAGTAATGACAATAAAGCTGGCTTTGTCCTTTACAACAAAACTGTACCCAGAATATATGCTTACCTCAAGCTGTCTCACAGTAAGCAAACCTGTCCTAGTAACCCTTTATGCCTAGTAACAAACTGCCTATACTGGTGGTGTTTGCACTAATGCTGTTTTGCATGCCTCTTAGAGTTTGAAGGAGAAATTATACCAGAGAGTTAAAAGTGGATGATAATATAGTCCCACTTTAGACTTAAATAAAATATATTTATTAGTTTATTAATTTAAAATTTAGACTTAGGTTTTGTCTATGTATTTATGGCAAATATATATATTTGGTGACACAGACCTTTCATTTGTTAGCTGCATTAGCTTTGTAACTCAAAAAGCAAAATTTGGACACTGAACAAATCTTGGCTACATTTGGACTTTGTGGACAATTGTGTAAATGTAAATTGATTTTTTTTCCCCCAAAACAATTCCTCTAAATAGTGAATATGATGTTACCTGTATTACTCTCTTTCAAACTGGTCATTAATTTTTCAGTCAGCTGGCTTTTGCTCATCATCCTCAAGATCTTCAGAGTGATCTGCACAGCTCCATCTGGACTGTAACTCTCCACCATTTTGTGCACAGTGCTGCATTTATTAACTTTCTCTATCTGCTCCTTTGGAATGTGTTGGAAACCTTCCACACCATTGGTCAGATGCCAACGGAATAACCCAAAGTCCTCTGGTTCCAGCTCATTGAGAATGTCCAGTAAAAGGCACTTAATATTTGGCATTTTGTATCACTGTGTAAGAAGAAGCACAACAGATTCAAATTTAATAGAAGATTCAGGCAACTAAACATAGAAAATACAAAGTTTGAGAAAAATTGGGTTTCTACTTTGAAACAGTAGAATGTTTTCATAAGTCAGCACAAACAAGAACATTTTTCTTTGGAACTACCAAATTTGCATTCTTCACATTCTTTACTTCACTTAACATAACTTTCATATTTCATAAGCTACATACAAGAAGGGGTGTCATATGAAACCTGTAACTCTCTTCTTTTCACTAAATGGATCATTTATCTGAATTTTCATTTATGTGAACTACGGCACAGAAATACGAAAAATGAATGTGAATATTCATATTTATAGAAAAAATGTAAATCAACCAAATTGTACAATCAGACATCAAATAAAATGGTGGATTCTCTGGGTTACAAAAACATACCAACGTTATTCCGTAAAATTGTCAGATTTTGAGATATTGCAGGAAGTACTGACCATTCATAACAAGTGATTTTGAATTGAAAAATTATTTTCTCTTACTTTTCTATATCTGTGATTACACAACTTAAACACTATTCAGATGGAATTAGTAGCATTGAAGTCAAGTCTGCTAGATCCAAGCAGTGTCTGGACCAGAACAAGATCGAGACCAGATTAAGATTTTTTTCCAAAATAGCAACATTTAAAAATAAAATTCAATTGTAGTTAATTGTACATTTATTATCATAGATTATATATTATACATTAATGTATATTACATTATATAATATATTTTGCAAAATATAATATTAAGTAGTATATAGACCAAAAAATTATTATATTATAGTCTTAGTCAGTGCATATGGTATACAGGGGGTCCTGTGTTAGCTGACAACTCCAACATTGGCTGGCTGCTAACTCAGTCACCGGTGCTGATGCTAGCTTCAATGGCAACAAAAGGTTTGGTTTAACTATTCTTCTTCTAGAAATGCTCTTTTCTAGTTTGGTAATTTACTCTTACACATATTAACTAAGATCCTAGGCATCTCCTCTTTTGTCTTCAGTTTGAGAAATGAATAACAATTTTCACCAATCTCTTAGGAAACTGGGCAAGTTTTCAGATTTACATATGATGGCTTAATCTAAAGTTTTTCAGAGGTATCCTTGGCATAGTTACGGTTACTAGGCTACAAAGGTCCAACTGGGTGAACCACTTTGCTACAGCGCCATACTGAGGCAGACCAGTGCTGCATCACTAGTTAGTTAGGAATACCAAAGACAGAAGCTGTTTAATGGGTGAAGTAGCTAAACAACAACCTCTCCCTGAATGGACAGCATAACATCATAATAAGGGGGTCCTGGACTCCCCAGGACTGTATTTCACACTTTGGTCTTAGTCAGACTTTTCATTGTAACTGGTGGCAATGGGGGGTGGCACGGTGGCACAGTGGATAGCGCTGTCGCCTCACAGCAAGAATGGCCTGAGTTTGATTCCCAGCCGGGGCGACCAGGGTCATTTCTATGTGGAGTTTGCATGTTCTGCGTGGGCTTCCTCTGGGTATTCTGGTTTCCTCCCACAGACCAAAGACATACAGTCAGGTCAACTGGACACGCTAAATTGCCCCTCGGTGTGTAAATGTGTTTGTCTGTCTATCTGCCCTGTGATGGACTGGCGACCTGTCCAGGGTGTATCCTGCCTTTCACTCAATGATAGGCTCCAGCGACCCAGAAGGATAAGCGGTTTAGATGGTGTGTGGTGGCAATGGTAAGGTTATTCTCTATTCCTTTCTTCTCAAACATATTTAGTATCACCACCTAAAGTCAAATGAATGTAAACTAATCTACAACCATTTTTATTACTATGAAAACATAGTAATAATAACATTCTGATCTGCCCTCGAAGAAAGTTTGAATTTTGAAATCAATTAACAATAAACAAATAATATAAAGTTAAGCCATCCTGGAGCAATTAGACCAAAGGGCTTTAGTAAGGGAGATGGAACTCCAGAGGTTCCAAAACAGGTCCATTCTGTTTAAACGTTCTCGCTGTGCATCCTGACCTTCTCCCACCCCCAGTTTCATCCACCAAATGTAAAAAAAAGCCAAAGAGTACCATCGCATATTAATCTATGTTATGAATTCGTGCTACCCAGTTGACAACAACCCCGTAAGGAACGTGTTTCACAAAAGATTATAGAAAAGAATTCAATCCACATTGACTTCTTAAAACAGTACTCTACCAAGGGACTAGTTCAAGTGGTATTTTTGCAGGGTGGTATTTAGTCATGAGGAACTTACAACATGCAAATGAGGGAAAAGTGTGGTTGCAAAAACTTTCACACAAACGGTAAACATGCTGGTAATCCTCACTTAAGAATAAGCAAATGTGTTACTATGATGCTATTACTCTCACTCACATTAAATCAGGCATAGCATTTTATCTTGCCCATTACAATTTGATATTATTTAAATATGGAAATACAGAAAGCATTAGCATATTCAACACAGGAGATCAGATAACAGTTGATGTTCAAATGAAATACTAACACTGTGGTTAGCAAAAGGATTCAAAGATATGTTTGGTTTATATGTAGTTTTTGCATGTAGCTGGTCTGGTGTTGGTTTTAGCAGATTACCCAACGTGGTCATGCTGATTGACCAGCATACCAGCATCCAAACACAACATGTGCTGGTTTTGGTGTTTTTTTTCTCAGTACATCCATGAAAAAGCAATTCGTGGATGGGTAGAGGCTCATCACTTTACCTAAAATGCATTAGCAAAAAATTCAACACTTTACAAATAACATTCCACAGCCAGGATTTCCAATGATTTTAGGTATTTCACCTTCTGCAGTCCAAAATAAAATAAACAGAATTCAGGGAATGCGGAGAAACGGAAAAAGGAAAAGGCCCACAAGGAATACCCTTGACCTTCGACTCTTTGGACAGCACTGGATTAAACACCGCTATGCTTTTGTGATGGATGTCACAGCATGGGCTTGGGTGTATTTTGAAAAAACAACAATAAACACCTTCCGTTGCCGCATCTACAAATGCCATTTAAGACTTTACTATTCACAGAGTTAAGTAACTTGTTTCAGATTTTAAGTTACTCATCAATCATTAGTGTCATGTTTGCTCTTCTTGGCCAGAATTCACTTTTTAATTCCAAACTATAGATGAACAAACACACAAAAACACATACACACATAAAAAATGACCTAATTCCGGTTTGACTGATAATGCTGTAAATCTTAATCATTTTCAGTATGTCAGTGTACATGAGATGTATGTTGGAGGGTTTGTGCCTGAGGGTTTGTGCACCTACTGGCCTTTCTCCACTGAATCAAAGCCTAATTCACTCATAAAAACACAAACTACAATTAAATATACATTAAAATACTTGAAAGCAATGTTACCTTTTCTGGATTCAGTCTCGTTCCTCAGTAAGATATTCAGGCCTCAGTAAGAAATGTGTCCAGGTCGGTCTTCATCAGGATGATCAATGTTATCCTAAAGATTTAGAAGTGAACAGAATAATCTCTAATTTCAGATCACTTCATATCATAAACCACTTACATGCATTTCATGCACACTTTGCTTAACCTCTTCCTGCACTAACAATCTGTTCACATGTTCCTTTTCTAAATGAGCAGACTTTTGCTGATTACAGCTTCAATATAAAAGTAAAGCTAAATAAACCCACCAGAAGAACTGTCATCAGAAGATCCGCTCATTTCACCAGAACAAACACTAAAGCGCTTTATAAAAATTAGGAAAATAACTGTGTCTTTGTGTATGCATGTGTGAGTGTGTGTGTGAGAGAGAGTTCTGATGTACCTTTCTTTTAGCTGTGACCTCTTCTTCAGAGCAGGGCAGTGAACTGAATCCTGAAATTCAACACTGCTGTGAAGGACAGAGAGAGAGAGAGAGAGAGAGAGAGAGAGAGAGAGAGAGAGAGAGAGATTTAGTTACTTCCTGCTCATCTCTGGGGCTTTTCTGTTCACATTCTCCTTTTGTAAGAGCTGGAAAGTCTAGTCATACTGCACTGGATGTTCACTACACAACCACAAAAAACCCCTTAAGTTAAAGTACCTACAAATGACATTTCCTCATGAAGGCTTGTCAGATGGCTTCTCTTTTACACAGCGCTGTATTTATGGGCATCAACCACATATATATCAGGTTTTGAAATGAAACCTGAAATGTCACACAGCTGATGACAGGAGTGACATAAAAGATCTGATAAAGATCAGAATGTCATCAGCATACACTGTAATTTAACTGCTATTTTCCCCTCAGTCCTCTGGCTTTGAAATGAACTTGAAATTCCACACAGCTGCAAAGAGAGAGAGGGGGAGAGCGAGAGAGAGAGTAATATAACATTTATTTATACAGCACTTTAAAAAGACAAGGCTGGACCAAAGAGCTGCACAATACAATCAACTAATAGGAAAAAAAATATAAAAAAACATGCAGATTTAACATTTAAAAAGAAGAGATTAGAAGACATAGTACTACCCGTGACAAACAACCGTATAAGACAAAGGACAGAAGCACTGAATGCAGGACAGAACAGTAACACTTTACCTGAACCCTGCTACATAACACTGACATAACCATGCCGTAAACATGTCATGGCAGATGTCAAATGGGGTCATGAGTTGTTATGACAGATTATGTCCAGTAATATAACAGTGCCATATTACTGTTACAGGTAGTTGTCATGACAGTTCATGTCAGATGCTGAAGTTTGCTAAGCATTCTCTATAACCACAAATCAGAAAGAGTTGGGACTGTGTATTAAATTAAGCTTACACTGAAAACAGCAATTTAACTGAGATGTCATTTGTATCTGTTTAAAATATAAGTACACCCCTGGCTTCGTAGCTGGTGCTGCCCCCTTTGGCAGAAATAACTTTATGTAGGTGTTTGCTATAACTGTGTTTTAACAGTTTCTAACATCTACTAGGTGGTTCTTTATTTTCAACTTTTTACAGATGCTCTCACATTCTCCTCAAACAAAGAGAGAATTCATAGTTGATTCTATGACTGCAAGTTGGCCAGGTCCTGAGGCAGGAAAGCAGCCCTAAACCATAAAATTTTCACCATCCATGCTGTCTGTGGTTTTCACCAAACATGGCTTCTGGTACTGTGGCCAAACAACTCTATCTTTGACTTGTCTTTGACTTTAACTTTTCTGTTTCAGAAATCCTGGTCTGGTGCTTACTTCCTCTCTCTCTCTCTCTCTCTCTCTCTCTCTCACACACACACACACACAGACACCCACATACACATACACACACACATATATATATATATATATATATATATATATATATATATATATATATATATATATATACACACACCAATGAGGCATAACATTATGGCCACCGCCTTGTTTCTACGCTCATTGTCCATTTTATCAGCTCCACTTACTATATAGGTGCACTTTGTAGTTCTACAGTTACAGACTGTAGTCCATCTGTTTCTCTGCATACTTTGTTAGCCCCCTTTTACCCTGTTCTTCAGTGGTCAGGACCCCCATGGACCCTCACAGAGCAGGTACTATTTGGGTGATGGATCATTCTCAGCACTGCAGTGACACTGATGTGGTGGTGCTGTGTTAGTGTGTGTTGCGCTGGTCTGAGTGGATCAGACACAGCAGTGCTGCTGGAGTTTTTAAACACCTCAGTGTCACTGCTGGACTGAGAATAGTCCACCATCCAAAAATATCCAGCCAACAGCGTCCTGTCGGCAGCGTCCTGTGGACAGCGTCCTGTGAACACTGATGAAGGACTAGAGGATGACCAACGCAAACTGTGCAGCAGCAGATGAGCTATCGTCTCTGACTTTACATCTACAAGGTGGACTGACAAGGTAGGATTGTCTAATAGAGTGGACAGTGAGTGGACACAGTGTTTAAAAACTCCTGCAGCACTGCTGTGTCTGATCCACTAAGACCAGCACAACACACACTAACACACCAAAGTGCACCTATATAGTAAGTGGAGCTGATAAAATGGACAATGAGCGTAGAAACAAGGGGCTGGTCTTAATGTTATGTGTGAGAGAGAGAGAGGAAGTAAGGTGTTATGGTTGAAAATATCCTTCTTAGGAAATTATAGAACTAATGATGGTGTTGTTTGTAAGATCACAGCTATACTGACTGATACTGATAACGACACAGATGTCACCCACAGCCTGACTCAGGGATTCCAGTGAAAAAACATTCAAGCAAAAACTTTATTTCATGAAACTGCCCATGGTCTGCTCCAGGTAGTTTTTGAAATTATTTTTAGTTTGGGTTTAGTTGGGTTGTAGATACTGAGTTTTAACTTCTTAAAGAATGACTGAATTCATGATTTTCAATCCCATGAAAGGGTTTCTGAGAGATGTATTGCAAGACAAATAAGTAAATAAATACCAAAATATGTAGGCAGTGGATTTTCCTAAATGTTTGCTTCCATACTCATGTCTGTACTTAAATAAATAAGTGATGATAAATTATATAATAAATATTAATATGATGTGAAATACTTGCCCTGGGTGCTTAATCATCCTTACATATTTTAAAATAGATAGTTGTTTGGAAATGGTACTTAAGAATAAAGATCCATGGGCTCTAATATTTTTTTAGTTTGTCAGTTATAATATTTGTTAGAATTTATGAGTGGTTATCATATTAGCCTAACCTTTATTTTAAAAATATTTGATCACATTTTTAGCTCATTTTGCTTTTAGGCTAAATCTTATTTCAGCTTTAAAGTGTGATCTGTTTTTCAGTCTGAATTCACCTGATTTATTTTGATTTAAAGGAAAGTCCCGGCTTTAAATGGAGGTGCTCAGATGCAGATATAACGTCCATGCCTGGAAAGCTCTGCATTGGAAAAACCTGGCAACCTTGGACGTAGGAACAGAATGGCATTTTCAATAATCTCAATAAGGTGCCCTGAAAATCGATTTAAGATTCTGTGCAGCAGGACTCTCAATATGGATAACTTTTCTTGCATATCTGTATTTACCTTTTAAATTTAAGTCACCAACTCTAAACACGGCCCTATGTGAAAAGAAGTTAACACTTCTACATGGAACAAATTTAAACAGATTTCAATACATAGTTATTATTTACGGTGGAATTTAACATGTTGGAAAAACACTAAAACATAAAATGTGGTATGTGTGTGAGTTTGAGCACCCTTTCAGTCAATACTTAAGAACCCCTTTGGCTGAAGGGGCCTCCAAATATGTCTTTTATATCTATTCTCGATTTAGGATTGTTCTTCCCACTTTTCCTTTCCTGAACTACTGAATATCCCTTAAGTAATCATTTAAAATCCAAAAAGCATTGCATAGAAGTTCCTTAACTTAACATTTCACGTTAGAATAATCTAAGGTTACAGAAACCTCACTAATGGTTACTGTCAAATTCTAAGAAGCTGAAGATATGGCTGAGTTTTTGCACATGATTGAAGAGGAGACTGTGTCTAGGCAAGTTTTTCAGGAAATCGCTTGCAATTTTCTTGCCGCACCCGAGTCATGCTGCTATCCCACATTCCCTCACACATTTTTCTGCTAGTCTTCATTACATATAAATGACTGCATTTAAAGCTGTCAGTGCACATTTGCAGCAGCACTTTGCTTGGAATGATTGTCACCCACTGAGCCTTCTGAACGATTTAAAACAGGAACAGTTCTGAGAACGAATCATGTGTAGAAAATGTGTTTACTACTAAATCTACTGCAACTTTAGTAAGATCATTATGAGAAAGATATTTGAGTGTAGGGTAGATGAATTAATTTCACAACAGCAGAAATGTCTCAAGTTACTTCTTGAGTGATCAAACTAGTTTTTGCGTATCTGTCATCACAACCAAAATATTTCTGAATTGACTTGGCGAAATCATTGGAAATAATCTATACAACAAAAATAAAATCAGCCATGACATTACATGAGAAAAAAGTTTTGAGTCCTGAGACTGATAACAGTATGCTCTGCTAGGCTCCACTATCTCTTAAAATATTAAAGGTGCAGCATCGATCTGGAGAACAACGCTTGATGTTTGAACTCACAAGCAAAACAAATACACCCTTCCCTTCACTGCTCTTTCAGAAGCTCCACCCCCAAATTCATGGACGTGCTTTGCGCCTCTGGGCGTATGGGAGGCAAATACAGCCAAAAAGAAATTAAAATTAAAACAATAAAATGTAAATGCAAACCTCTTTTTGCCATTTCTTTTTCCAAACATCTGCGCAAATATCCTGCCAACATTGAAAATTGAATGAAATACCTTCATTTGCAATTTCGTTTTCCACATGAGCACGAGCCATTTGTGACAAAAATAAAAATAAATGTAAAACAGCTATTTGAAATTTCATTTTAGTTGTTATTCTGGTTTTTCATGGCCAAATCTAAAATAAAAAAGCTAATAGAGAAAAGAAAATCCAAGCTTCACTTTGGCTGGTAAAAAACTGGAAATGTTATACTGGCATTTATATCGAGATACTTAATAGTTTAAGTTATAGGAACCAGTATATGCTCGACCAGGCTTGTGTTTGGTCTGATACCTTTTCTCCGTTTGGTCTGACAGCGTTTGTGCTGATGTTCAGTTTCACCAGATCTGAGACATCACGATGGTTTTTCTCGAGACTCGAAGTTGTTTAGCTTGAGGAATGATGTCGTTCTGACTCGGAGGTCTGAGGATGTCCCAAAATGTACCCCGTAGCCCCGCCTAGTGCTAATTAACATATATTTGCATGTTGGTCAGTTTGAAAACGAAAAGTCAGAAATGTAAAGTAAATCTCCAGCAGGTGGCGCTGATGTTCGTTTGCATTTGCCTTTTCATTCTGACACTTAAAGCGAGTCCGCGCCGAAAACCGAATCACAAACTGTCACTTTGCTGTTGATTTATCAGTTTTGCATTTGCATTTTAATTTTGTCAGATATGCAGCCAATTGCTATGAAAATGAAATAAGAACGTAAACACTGCACTTTGATTTTAGTTTTGACACGTATTCTGCATTTCATGAAGAAAAGCCAAAGCCAAAGTGAAGCTTCTTTTCTCTATTAGCTTTTTCATTTTAGATTTGGCCATGAAAAACCAGAATAACGACTAAAATGAAATTTCAAATAGCTGTTTTACATTTATTTTTATTTTTGTCACAAGTGGCTTGTGCTCATGTGAAAAACGAAATTGCAAATGAAGGTACTTCATTTAATTTTCAGTTTTGGCAGGATATTTGCGCAGATGTTTGGAAAAAGAAATGGCAAAAAGAGGTTTGCATTTACATTTTATTGTTTTAATTTTAATTTCTTTTTTGGCTGGATTTGCCTCCCATACTGGGCGAACCATCTTCATTCTAAAGAAGACCAGCTGTTTTGCCAAGTCCCACCCTTCTCTCCTTCTGATTGGTTGCCGGAAGAATTGTTTGAAAGATTTGTTTCACAATGGTGTCATATAATTGGTCGCAAACTGGAACTAGCCCCATGCCATTGGCCAGAGCAGGTTGCCCAGTCGCATGGCCCGCTGATAAAATGTTTCAACGATTTGTTTTAAAACGGTCTCGCCAAACTATTTCAACCACCTCTTTAGTTTCTGGACTGCAGATGTGCCATGTGTGTATGTTATAATTGTACTTTTGCACTAATTAAGGGGTGTAAGCTTGCTGGCTACACATTGCAGTTTCAATAGTAAAGTAAAAGTTTTTTTCTCCATAAAATTCTTCCTTTTTGTCATGTTTCTTTTCATTACCTTGCTTAATCTTTGTAAAATATTTATGTATAATTTTTTTATATATATTTTTTTCCACTGGAGTTGTTTTTTTTTTTACAATTTTTTGACCTTTTATATATTAACCTATCTTGCTAAATTGGCAAAATGATTTTAATTGCCTGCGATGGACTGGTGTCTGCGATGGCGACCTGTCCAGGGTGTATCCTGCCTTCCGCCCAATGACAGCTGGGATAGGCTCCAGCACCCCACCGCGACCCAGAAGGATAAGCGGTTTAGATGATGGATGGATGGATGGATTTTAATTGCTATCAAACATTGTTTCTATGTAGAATATCTAATTTGTAAATTACTAGTACCAGTATGGCAATACTTTATTGTATGAACAGTGAATTACGTTACAAAAGACTTTTCTGAACATATTGCCATTTAAAGACCATGTAGTCAGTATTTAAAGGATGCTGACCAACAGCATGTTCCTTCAGAAAGAGAGCAGAATTATTTTTGTTTAATTGGATTTAGTGCACAGCTTTTGAACAAAATCATATGTACTCATGGTTTTTATAGTCATTTTTAGATGTGGCAATACTGTGGCTTTTCAAACCTCAGGAAAACAAAATATCATGATGTACCCACGCAACACCTGATCACACTTTTTCATAGTATTTTTAAAACGTGTCATTAAAGCTGTGTTAGGTCTGTCGCAGCGTAACAAACATCCAAAAAACGAAATGTAAAATATAATAGTTGTACTATTGTGATGCATCTTGTGTACCATGAAAACATCTTAAATTACCATGATTCTATATGTTTGTGAGAGTGCTATCCACTCTCACAACTGTGACTGTGGATGCCCTACTGTATGTGAGCATTTAGACTCTTGTGCAAGCAGCCCAACTGCCATCTGGCTGGTCAGTACCTGACATCTTATGGCTTGTACAAGACAGTCAGGAAGGTGCTCTACATCGATGGCTGGTACTTATGGGACATCCTAGAGCAGCTGGACCCTGCACATCGAGCTATGTTTCCAGTCATCCTCATATGCAGGTAAACACACATCTCCATCTACAACACAAAACACAAGGGCAACATCTAAGACATAAAGATACATATGATTAAATAACGCACTTTAGATCTATTAGGGTCTCTTTTTGGGGTCTTCTGTCAGGTAAAGAGGGGATTAACGGTCACTCATGAAGTGTCTGACACAACCTGTCTGATGTAACGTTGCCTCGTTGAAGTGTCTGACACCTTCTGTTGGTGTCGTCGACCATTTTTTTTACACCTTTTGATGTCCCTGGTCTGGAATCTCCCATCGTTAAATCTCCCATTGTTCAAGGGGGTTGCAGGTGCAGACCCTGAGACTCCTTTTACAGCCAGTACCTAACTTTGATCTGTGAATGTGTGTGTTTACAGGTTGCCCTTTGACATGAAGGTCATGCGGCTGATGGAAGAGAGAGGTCCCCCGGCAACAGTGCCTCCATGCTATACCACAAACTGAGGGAGCAGCACAGTGAGGCCTGGATGACAAGCACACTGTAGTACCTTGCAGCGTATAAGAAATTCCAGGTCCCTGGTGTTGAGGTATAGCATGTGGCACCCCCACCACCCATGGCGAGGGGATGTCCGGACATGGATCAGTGAGATGAAGGCCAGGGTCACCTCCATTTTTGGATCTGTCTTGAAGATGGATTTAACAAAGCAGGTAATGTTTTTTATGTCAGATTCTCAGATGCAAATTATGCTTAACTGATTAAGTGTAGTAAATTATTATACTATACTATACTATACTATACTACACTACATTATACATTTAACTTTATGTGTGTTTGTGTGTGTGTTCATGCATGTGTTCGTGTATGTTCAGGTGAGCAAGAAAGTATCTAGAGCTGCAGCCGGGACAGCAGCCTGGGTGACCAACGTGAGCAATGAATATGGACAGGTGCTCATGTCCGTACTTGCAGCTCATGAGAGAGAGGGGCTGCTGCCCATGGCAGTGGGGTTAATGAGGCGCTACCGTGAAGCCGGAGAGTGGGAGGAGCTGGTCATCAGGCTGCATGTGTGGCGGGGTGAGGGGAAGCGGTCAGTTATTGAGCACACTAATGGAATTCTAAAAGGTCGCTGGATGTGTTTGGATGCAGCACAACATTGCCATGGAACACGGCATGCCAAATCTGGAGAACTCATTTTCACCTGAGTGCGGCCTAACGTTGATGGAGAATATAGTTCAAGTCATTTTATTCTGTATTTTTTGTTGATATGTATCCACAGTTTTATGTGTGTTTGCACCCATTATAAATGAATACATGGAAACGAATGATTGCATGTGATAAAGTGTTTATTTCATATTTAAATTAAAGCCTCAAATTATATTTTCTCTTTTGATTCTTGAAGTTGACGCATAATTGTAACTAATATTCACAATGGCTTAATTTACACATAATAAAACACTCTTAATGAACTATTTCTCATTGCTTTAAATCCCAGTAAAGCCGTACACCATTCGGTCCTGCCAGGACATCTTGCCCCTCAGGGGTGTTGAAAAATGCACTTGGCTTCTCCCGCACATCAGAAGCTTCTCTGCTTCCCCTGTTTCCACCCATGTTTCCAATGGATATTAGCACTTCTCATCTTTCTTCAGCCTTTTCCAGCCACCTTTGGGTCTGAGTTGCTATGCGATTTGTCCTGTCCATGGAGCTCAAACATCATTTCACTATATTTACAAATGAGGAATCTGAGCACACCCGAAAGGAGTCTTCATCTTGATGCATTCTTCTGATGTACCAGGGCCAGTTGATATGCTTTGAGATGCCACAGCCTGAACCCTCTTGTTTTTCCTTGACTTTTTATTCTTATCTGAGATATGATTACATAATTCCTTCATTTGAAAAATCCACCGACACGGTAGGTACTCTCCCCAGTTTTTTTTTAATTTATTTATTTTTTGGTTGTCTCACAGTGATTATTTCACCACTCCCTTTCTTCAAAGTGTCTATATTATGCTGATAATTTCCTCTGTTGCAAATGTAGTCTAATAATATCCAGTTTGCTTTGGATACCTTAGGTTTTGATAGTGCTCATGCAACTTCGATTTTTTTTCATGTTTTCTCTCTTTCTCTAGATGTCTGGCCAGTTTGCTTTGCCCCTTCCCACAGTTTTTAATCCAACTTTTGTTTGCCCTCTTTTTGCATGTTTTTTTTCACTTTCACTGGTGACACATTATTGGTCACAGACCTACCATTTTCCTCCTTTGATTGGCAGTCGGGCTGGAAAATTTCTTTACATGTACTGTCAGGACTGTCTGGACAGAGACTGGCCAAGTCAGAGCTATCTTCTGATGGGAAATATTCTGAACCACTTATATCTTCCAATCATTGCTCCTCATGGCTTTCAAATGATTCATCAGCTGTATTTGTCAACTGCTGTAACATGAAATGTTTGAATATAAAAAGCGTATCTTAACAAAAACAGAATGAATTTGTACATTTACATTTAGGGATGGCGACTCATTTTGCTTGCTAGATGCATTGAAAGCATCTATACACATACTAATGTTCCCTTAAAATAGTTGATCTCATATGTTGCGTTAAAAACATCCTCAACACCAAGACTTATTTTTACCCCTTACCCCTTGTTTTCAAATGTGTCAGCTTGCCCCTTGGAACCAAGTTGGAACAATTATTTATTATCGCCCACCCCTAATTCTTCGGTGATATGAAGCTGAAGTCAGCTATTTTCCAGCTATGGGTCATTCTACACAAATGTCCACTTTTTCATCTATCCATAGGTGTCACTGGTGTTATGAATGCTCATTGGTGTTACACATAAGAAAGGTAACCCTTTACACATGAGCACTTCTGTGGTGCTTGGAAGTTCAAGAAGGGTCTTCTTGCAAAGCCACTGGCCACTTCTATCCAGCCCACTCAAAGTCAACTTGACTCTTGA